CAGGTGTGGTGAGAAAGTTAAGGAGCATCATCATCATTCTGACAAGTAGAAATAAATGAAAACAGAAAAAAAATGAGATAAAAAGGGAATAGTCAAGATTCTTCTGTGAAATTGAAGGACTTTGTATTTGACTCGCTGCTAAAAAAGTAAATTTTTATTGTTGTTGTTGAGGAACAAGGAAGGGAAGAAAGGAAGTACATCAAGCTACAATGATTTCTCTTCCTTGGAAAAGAGCAGAAGGTGTAAACAAAACACAAGCCAGTGTTTGTATGCTCCATTAACATTTATTTGACTTTTCTTCTTCTTCCTTCATACACATAAAAATACTTTACATTGAATGTTTGCACTTCATCTTATCCTTTTTGTTGTCAGAGTCTTCATAATTAATATTAGTAGGTCATAAGTGAAATAAGCCAGTCAGAGAAAGACAAATACCATATGATTTCACTCATATGTGGACTCTAATGAACACAATAAACTAACAAACGATATAGAAACATATTCATAGATAGAAAACAGACTGATAGCTGTTAGAAGGGAGGGGTATTGTGGGACTGGATGAAAAAGGTGAAGGGATTAAGCAATATAAATTGGTAGTTACAAAATAGTCTTCTCTCTCTGGATTCTGGTGATTCACATGCTCCTTAATCCATGTCTATGTCTACAGGAGATTGATTGCATGCTTACATTTGCATGTTTCAGTTCTGACCATATGTACATGTATTTACCCTGTTAAGTCAAGACTTTTAAAGGGGATGGAATCCCTCTTTTGCACTCTTAGGATGCAATAACTCTTAAAGGGGTAGAAGAGGTATGGGGGGGTGGGGCGGGATAAATGGTGATGTAAGGAGACTTGACTTGGGGTAGTGAACACATAATACGATATACAGATGATGGGTTATAGAACTGTACATCTGAAATCTATATAGTTTTATTAACCAATGTCACCCCAATAAGGTAAAAAAAAATTAGTAGGTCATTTTCAATAGATCAGTGAATAGGGACAAGAGGAAAGCATTTGCCCCAAACCATTTCTCAGGTCACAGGGCAGAATTGGTCTTGGAATTTATAACCTCCAAATTCTTGGTTTCTGTGGTTACCAGATGGCTATAACTACCGAAGAAGACATTTTAGACTACCTAGTACCAGTTAATGTGGATTTTCTACTGTACTGCTTGATGGAAGATGAGACAATGGGTAGGGTCGCCCCACTCCCTCACTCATTTGGAATTCTTACATGCACACAGGCACACACTCTCAGTGGCCTTGCTCAGTATCTGCAGGCAGTCAAGAAGGTACGAGTCCATGGGAACCCCATCTGAGAGCTATGTACTTAACTAACCAATACGTAGGTTGACTTTTCAACCACCAATGAAGACCATCAGTGTGTAGGAAGCACAATATTCATTACATCACAGTGCTTATTTTTTTTCTAAGGCCTATATTCTCTGTGTCCATTCGATTCTGTTTCTGAGATAAGGAACCACTATCATTTGTTTTGGTGTTTTCAAAAGTCATACTATATAATCAATTTTACTGATAATTTCTCAAAATGCTTAAGTAGATCTGCAAATGTGGGTTAGTGTGAGACTCCCTATCTGCATCAGATCTGTATAAAGTGAAACGTGCTTTAGTTGCGTTCAAACCTGTACCGTTGAGGCCAACACGTTGGGAATTCAAGGGCAAAATGAATTCATTGGTTTGCTACATCTTGCACGTTGATGAATAATGGGGAAAAAAAATGCCCTCGAAGCTTGATTAGTTCTTGCCACATTTGCCTGTCATTATTTCTCAGACCACTGTACATAAAAATCACTGGCACAAAGGATCCTTCCCTCAAAAACCAGATTCCTGGGGAAAGCAAAGAAAACGAGCAGGGATGGGACAATGTGTCTGACTTCTTAAAAGTCTATTTACGTCCAATTTATTTTGGTCCTTAGGCCTTTGGACATGTTAGCAAGTTAAGTATTTTAATGGCGGATAAAGTGAGTATGAAACAGGTATCCTTTTTTTTTCTTCTTTCTTTCAAATGTCATTTTGGTTTCTAAAAATTGTTTCTTCTCGCTAGACACAAGCCAGATGCCGGGGGCTGACCGGATGCCAAGTCTCAGGACTGTCCAGTCTCCCATATCAGATGTTCAGCGGAGCCTTCTGAATCTCCTCGAGGTTGGAAAATCTATCCCCCAGACTCACAGATGCTGTTCTCCCCGCAATGGCTCGGCACAGAACATCATTATCTTTGCCGAGCTTCTGTCTCTATGGCAATAACAGATGGGAAGTGCTGCGGAATTATTCATGTTCAGGAAAGGAGGCAGTGGAGAAGGCGGGGAAGGCGGCTGGTGGAGAGGGGGCGCGACCTGGGAGCACCTCGGCGGGGGCGCAAGGACGGGAACTTGGGAGGGTGTGTGGGTGTGGGGTGGGGAACGAGAGGCTCGTGAGCCTTTGGGAAGAAGAGGGGGCAGGTGGAATCTACGGCTGCCTCCAAATGCAGACCCCAGACGAGTCACGTAGAAGCAGGAACACCAGGAGAAATTGTTCAAAAATGGGCAGGAAGGAACAAGGGTTCAAGCGCGAGTCCTCCGAGCTGCGCACGGCGGACTATTTCTGTCCCCGATCTCGAGGCGGGTGGAGGGCAGGGGATTTCTCGGGGTTTCGAAACCCGCGGGGGCAGCGCCGCAGAGTTGTGGGCGCGCATCGCTAACCCTGGGAACGCGGCCCGATCCCGAGGGCCACCGCGGAGGCTCTGAGGTCGTCTCTTTCCACGTCTCCTCTCGAGTTTCCCTCCAAAACAAAACACAAAACCCCTCCCGCGTGCACGGTGGAAACATGTCATTTCCACCGCTGTTTTGGGACCGAGAGAGCAGGCTGGTGGGGAGGGAGGCTGAGAAGTAGGGGCAGAACTGTTTCCCCCCGGTTTCGTCGGGACCGGAGCCAGCACTCCGGCCCGGCCCCGTGGCGCAGGGAGGTCAGCCCGGGGAAGGCGTCTGGGCGGAGGCTG